CAAAAAGGACGAATTCTACGACAAAATCACCGGGGCCATCCGACTGAGGCGTAGCTCAGATATTATATTGCTGACAGATGACTTCAACGTGCAGAGTGGAAAACTGAACGCATCCAAAGCCTGTCAAGGGGGGTCGCTATATTCTTCCCACCCAGCGGAGACAACAGTGATCGACTACTTCAGTTCTGTGCAGATCACCGGCTGTTCTTATCGAGCACCAGCATTCGACACAATTCTCGTCGAACGGCATCATGGTGCTCTGGTTCAGCCGGTAATTTAACCCAAATGGACCACATTTCCGCACCATACTTTACACACGTATGAGCTCAGACTGTGCCAAAAAATCACGGTACAATAATCTTTATGAAAAAGAAAAACGTTCCACCATTGGGGGTCGGAGTTCAGTTAATCGGATCATACGCCTCTCGGATGGGGTCAAACGTTCAAGGTGCTCAATCGAGCCGGTGACCACTGCCACAACCAGGAAGTTGTGTGTGGTTCATACGCCGCCTCATGATTGGTTTGGAATCAGGGCTTTTGGCTAACTCCCCTAAGTGAGCTACCAGTGGTCCACCAACCCGGTTAAAGCCCCGAATGCGGTTTTTCGTCCTCACTTTGGAAACGCAGCCACGTGAAGGCAGTGAGTAGGGTTTCTTCCGCAGAGGCTATTCGAGAGGCTTGGTCGTATAGAAACATTTCCCGAGGTGCAAGGAAAGGGTGACCGCAACCCTAGACACCCACCCCCGACCACACTGAGGCTTTTGGAGGCACCACTGGAGGTACTCCAATCCATCAGTAATGTGGTTAAACAGCTATATAGATTTCTTTTTAGCCCAAATCTTTTGAACGTGTACAGGAGCAACCTAAGGATTACGTTGTTTTTTGTATATTGTATTTCTACCGATGGAACACTCGACTATAATCTGCATTAAAACCAGCCTGAAACTATTATGACCAGATCTTGTGGGCAATCAATAACAGATGTTTTTCATTTTGTAGGTTGCAGACCACTGTGTTTGTGACATCCATGGGTGGTCTACGTTAGACAATGAAGTTCGTTGGCCAGCGGGAGAGGATGCACGATTGTCTGTAAAATAACACTAACTCTGCTGAAACAGAGAAGTTATCTGGCAGCAGGGGTAAAAGTTCATGCACTGAAGGTGCAAGGGTAACCTCTGCTTAGTTATTATAATAACTAGGTGTCACCAAAGCGCAAAGTTTCGGTTTCAGTTATTACAATCATTAACCATGCACTTTAGTGAGCCGATCTTAGTTGCTGTCTTTTGACCACCTGGTTGGGAAAAAAGAGCAGAATGAAAATTGAAATGTTGAGAGAAAATTCAAGGGGAAGATAGAGAATGCACATAGACTGTGGATGCAAGAATAATGAGTAGGTACATGAGCGCCACTGTTCGCGACATCCAGCCATATCGCTCAGTGTCTCTCTCTAGGGTGGTGGTGATGCAGTGGACCCTATGGTGCGAGGTTCGAGCCCCGCCAACTGACTTTGGTGATAGGCAGCTTTGCTGTCGTCCCGGTCAAAACAACGCCTAACCTATCGGGAATTTGTGGTTCATCACACTTAGATGAGTAATAAGAAACCACTGGTGACCATGATCTCGGGTTTCCCACCTGGGGAGCCTAACGGGATCTATGCGACCCAGTATCCTGGATAGGGTTTTCATACCCTCGTGGGAGGTCTTTGTTTGACTGACCTTAACTTTTTTCCGTTAAGTTGCTAATGAATGTCTGAATCTTGATGGTTCTGAAGTTTTTCCGTGGCTTCGTAACTATGTTCCGATAGTCTTTAGGTTCGCGCGAAAGTCAGACTCCATCTAACAACCCGCAGGAAGTCCGTCCCCTCAAAACGCCTAGATGTGCCTTCACTGGAGAAAAGCGAAAAATGCCAGACACTAATGGACATGATAAGTGCACAGCTATCAAACGACCCCCTCAGTACACAAGGTAACACAGGGAGCTCGGTTGAAACTCAGTGGAGCAGGTTGAAGTCATCGGTACAACAAGCTGCTCTACACCCGTTAGGCACTAGACCACGTCGTCTGAAGGACTGGATATCCAGTCACACCATCCATTTAGCTAATGCGGCCAGAGAAGCTCGTCTAGCTCAATCCTCTACTTATCGCGATCTCAGGCGACAAGCAACACGATCAGCCAGAAATGACAGATGCAACTACTGGAACGAAATGGCTGCTAAAATGGAGACAGCAGCCAACCTGGGTAACACGGCGACCCTCTTCCGTCTTATTCGATCAGCATCGAGCAAGAATCAGGTCACCGGTGGGTGGAACACTTTAGTCTTCTTCTCAACCGCCGTCAAATCCAACTACGGTGTGCGTCCTCCTCGCCATCTTCTCCATATAAAGTTAACTGCGCTCCGCCATCAATAGAAGAAGTCTCAGATATTATCAGCCATCTCAAACCACGGAAATCTCCCGGCGAGGACGGGATACTCTCCGAAATCTACGCGAAGTGATCTTCAGCTATTTTAAACCCCTCTTCATAGCTTGCTGTGTACAATCTGGGAAACCTAAATTTGCCCAATTGACTGGACCACATCGATGTTACTACCTTTCCCCAAAAAGGGTGACAAGTCAGTGTGCGAAAACTACAGAGGCATCAGCTTACTAGACGTGGCGGCCAAAGTTTTTGCACAACTTTTGCTGAACCGCTTTGCT